CCAAAGCCGCCGCCGCCGCCGCCGCCGCCGCCGCTGCGAAGAAGGTGTCGGCCCCGCGAACGACAAGCACGGCAACTTCTTTGTCGTCGTCGGCGCCCGTGGCCCCGCCGCCTACGCCGATCAAGGGCAACCACTTCGCCCAGCCGCCGATCCTCTGGCCGGTGCTTGCGGCGGTGCCCCCGGCCCAAATGGCGGCGGCGGCGGGAGGGGGGGCACTCGCGTTGCCGACAGGGTCTTCCCCCCCGGCCGCTGCCCCGGGCGCCGCCGCCGCCGCCACCACCGCCACCGCCGCCCCCGGCGTGCTCCCCGCCGGTGCCAGCGGCGGGGTGGCTGGTCCGAGTTACCTGCAGGCGCAGCCGTACGCTGGTGCTTCTTCCGCCGCTGCTGCTCCGCCCGGAACACCGTCTCACCACGGACACCCTTCGCAGGTGAGGCGGGCTTAGACCGCCGCTGTTATTGTTGGGTTAACTTTTGCCGGTGGGTTGTTGCATCCGTTGTCATCGCTCCCGTCGTTAGCAGCTGACGCGTTGCACAAAGGTTAACGTTCTTCTTTCACGAGAGAGCCGTTTTGTTTTTTTTTGTATGTTCTGCCGGGAGCTTTTTGTGGGGTTGGAACATGTCCTGATGGTGCGGTTGGGTGTTGCACCAGATTCGACGGCGCCACTGGCGTGCTGCGCGCGTGCTGCGGTATGCACCCCCCCCAGCGTCGCCTCGAGATTCAGCCGATGGGGTACATCGTGTTCGGATTCGTGGAGGTGTCTCATCGCGTGCGTTTTCCAGGAGTTCGTGCCCAGCGAGTACTGCGTATCGTGGGTCAACAGTTGAGGCCGAAACGGGGCTTGGTGCGCCGAGAACACTCTTCGGTGCCCCCCGCCCCCCGACGTTATTAACCCAGTTGGCGCTAGACGTTGGGGCCACGAACAGTCTTTTGCATGCATGTACACATGTGAATTCTCAAACCGCGACGCTATCGTCTGGGATCTCTCACCCTCCCGCGCACATTCCACGGCACACCTGCCCAATTCCTCGTCGCCACGGCATCCCTCTCTCACATGAGCCCCTACCCCCCCCCCCCCCCCCCCCCCCCCCCCCCCCCCCCCCCCCCCCCCCNCATGAGCCCCTCCCCCCCCCCCCTCCCCCCCCGCCGCGGGCCGTCTTGTCTCGCGCTCTGAAACACGAAGCAGCAGCAGCAGCGGCAGGAGCAGCAGCAGCAGCAGGAGCAGGAGCAGCAGCAGGAGCAGCAGCAGGAGCAGCAGCAGCAGCCGGGTTCGAAGCCGGACTGCAGCACGAACGATGGTGGCCCGCCGTCACCGAGCAACGCTACCGCTTCCGCAGCAGCTTCCGCAGCCGCTGCCGCCGGTGCTGCTGTCAGCGGCGCCGCCGGTGCCGCCACCGCCAACGTGTCGCCGCCACAGCAGCAGCAGCAGCAGCAGCAGCAGCAGCAGTTGCGGAACGGCGGCGGGGTGGTGCCGGGGGCCGGGTTGCTGCCCGGGTTTTCGTCCATGAAGGACGGCAGCGTCCATATCGCTCCGGCTCCGCCGTGCGCTGCCTCGCTCCCGATCTCATTTGCCGGCGGCGGCGGAGCTGACAACGGGGTGGCGGCGGCGGCGGCGACGGCGGCGGCGGAAGCGACGGCGGCGGAAGCGACGGCGGCGAGCACGCCGTCGGTGGCGTCGTTTGCGACGGCGATGGCGGCCGGCGGCGGGTACCAGTGGCTGCCGCCCCAGCAGCAGGGGCTCGCGGGGGTGCCCCCCGGAGCGGGAAGCATGACCCCGGCGGCTGCGGCGGCTGCGGCGGCAGCGGGGGGCGGGGGGGGAGATGCTGCGATGGCAGCGGCAGCGGCGGCGGCGGCGGCAGCAGCGGCGGCGGCGGCCGGAGGGAAGGGCAAGACCGGTCGATCTGAAGAGGTCTCTCACTCTGTGAGCGTTTACCTATTTTTTTTTTGCTGTGTGTGTACATGTGTCTCGCGCACAAGAACCCCCTGCTTCTGCGATTTTCATAGGATTTGTGGGAAATTGCGTATTCCTGCACAATTCAATAGTCATGCAGTCCAGCATGTCGGGAAAGCAAAGTTAGCCGCCTCAACACCAACAGCAAGGTCGAAGCCTAGACAGTGCACACTAGCAACGCTCGAAGAAACAGTAGAAGGCGTGCCCCATCACTCTCAGTTTTTCATCTTCCTTGCGAATGCCATCACTTCCAGGCAACCCGCTGTTGATCGGGAATCAAGTGCACCAGCAACAAGCACCCAACAGTGACATCACCAACATAACCAATGACCCGTATCAGTGGTGGAGAGGCCGTTACACGGACACCCGTTGATTCCTCTCTCTCTCCCCCCTTCTTTTTGTTGTTTGCAGGTGGAGGCATTGCTGGCACTGAAGGAGGTCTTCTTCGCGCAGGGGCCGGGCGTCGACGTGCCGAGATGATGTGCCCATGTGCTATGCACATCCGGTACGGACGCTACTCCGACAGCGCAGGAGGCTTGCATCGACTCTTCTGTCGATCTTCGGCTGTGTATCGGGCGGCACTTGGAGTCCTCTGCTGCTGCTGTGCAAAAATGCGATGCAAAAATACGTTCCAAGCACCTGTGTTGTCGTGTACGACCGAACTGACTAGGTTGCCTCAACTCAAAGGACAGTTTTGACGTCTTGTGTTTTTTTTTGTTAGCTGCGCGGGCTTGTGCCAATCCGTTGGCCTTTTCCTTGAACGATTGGATCCAGTCATGTACAAGTAATTTTTGTCAGCCAGGCTCTTGTGCTTGTTTTCCCGTGCTGCGTGTGACAAAAGGGCCCCCATGCGGCACCTGTTAGGCGTACCACGGGGCCGCTGCAGCATGCAAATGCGAAACGAATCGATTTGGGTGATGGAGCACCAGTAGATATGGGCGTTCTCCCCGGCAGTTCGTGGTCGTAGGGCCGTGACACGGTGCCACGCACAGAACCTCTGTATGGCGATGATGATGATGATGATGATGATGATGATCTTTTCCTGCTTTCCTCACGTGCTGGGCTGGAGAGACAGCCACCACACCGTTCTTTTTGTCTCATTTTGCGATGACGGATGCGTGCCTCGTCTGGGCGCGGTGTTTGCGGCTTTTAATCGAGATGACGCCGATCTACGGGATGGACTTCAGTTCAAGGGAGGGGGATAGAGAGGCGCGGATGGGGGGGGGGCCATGGCCAGCAATGGTCTGCTGCTTCCTGTTTCCCGTCATTTGGGTCGTCAATTAGTTGTGGTGGTACATCTGTCGGGCGGTGGGTTGAAGTGGATAGGAAAGAGCAGCCCGCCATGCTTTTCCTGGCTTTCGTAGGTCGATCATCTCGCGCCCATGGCGAGGGATTGTGGAGTGCACAGGACGGAAAGAGGGCCGATCGTTGCCGCCAACACGGCGTGTGCGTAGAGAGGCCGTAAGGGCTGAGCACCGGAGCTCCCAACAGTAGAGGCCGCAGCTGTTTCTTGCGATCGACAGTGAAATGAGAGCACGAAAGTTGATGTTTCGGCAGTAGGTCGCCACCAACCGTGGTCGAGGGGTGATAAAAAGAAAAAACGAAAAGAAAAACGCGCTAGACCCAAGTGGGTTAGCCACCTGGGCCCTTCTAGCGTGTGTCCCGCCCGCAGCTTTCCGCAGTTCGTTGGTCGGCCGGCATTACCGCGCCGAAGTCGATTGCGCCTCGCTCCATCTGCGGAAGAGGTTAGATACGGTCAATCTTACCTCACCTAACCTGATGATGGCGTCGAGTCTTTCCTGCGGTGGCCTAGTGCCCCACTAGATGATGATGACAAAAGGAAGGTGAACGCACCTTTCGTCCCAATTGCCTGATGAGCTGGGCGGCGTTTGGTAGGGGGTGATGGTTTGTGCCGCCGAGGGAGTAGGGCGTGAACTGGTGTGGGAGGGGCTAGGGGGTAAACCAGCGGGTATACGTAGCCCAGACGACGTTAGGTGTGTTCTATTGTGGCTGTTGTTGTGCTATTTTGCTGTCGTCTTTGTTATTTTTGTTTTCATCACGCT